ATTTACAGTTTTTATTTAATTCTATTTTTTTGAAAAATTTAAAAATGTTGCCGGAGTTATGTTGACTGAGGGCTTCTTCTAGTGACCTTGGATTGTTGAGCAGGTACCTAACGTGCGGTTGAGTATTTGGGGCAGACAATTATGATGTGTGCCATTGTAAGGGGAGTTTTACATGTGTCACACAAGGGGGGGGGAGGTCCTTGGTTATCAGATATGAGTGCGTGATATGGGAATGGCCTATTCTGGATCTGTTTATAACTATTTGTTCTCTCCTTGATGCGTTCTCTGGATATGCCCATTTGGATATCTATAGATTTTTTTATGTTTCTGAGTTTGTTACTGGAGGGAATTGAATCCCAGTGATTTTGCCATGTTTTTATATAATCCGTTTATGGGCTTCATTTATTAGATCTTTATTCGGGATTTTATTTATGATGGTAGAGGTTGTGGATGTAACTGCTTCATTCGCCATTTTTTCGGCTTTTTCGTTTCCGGAGATACCTATGTGGGATGGGACCCACATTACACATAAACTTAATTCTGTTTTTCGATGAGGAAATAAGGTCTTTGGTAAGTTGGTGCTCTCCTGTACAGTAGGTTACAACTGGTTCACTGTATAATAATGGATGGTATTAAATTTGAAATCAATGATATAATATCATTGTATAAGAAAAACGATTCTGAGCGGAGACTGTATGTCAGTCTAGGCCTAAGACATATTATATTATCAGTGGCGTATTTTGAAATTTTTTCTGGGGGGGGTCTAAATATTAGGTACCTACCTACAAGTTTATAATATAAAAAAAACACATACGAGTTACGATGTAATAATTATATTATATTATATTTTTTTCTGGGGGGGGGGTCCAGACCCGGGGATCCCCCCCCCCGTAAATACGCCACTGTATATTATACATATCTATGTTATCAAAAAAAAATTGACCTATAATAGTTACCTACCTATAATAAATTACAAATTAATCATATCACAATATCCATTAGGTACTTATAAGTTATAACGCGTTATACATCAACAACAAACCTTGATACTATCATGGATATATAATAGTGTACTTTAGAAGTATTCAGTACGACAGTACCCACAATTAATATTATACAATCACAACAAAATAACTAAAATAGTTATTCTAGGTTTTTTTAATATGTAATTTCGTTAAAATTTGAACTTAAAATGACTATAAAAATAAACTGTACTTGTGTGTTTTTTTGTTTTTTTGGTAACAGAATTAACTACTTACATGGAATCTTTTTTTACATTTTCAATCCTTAGATATAAAAGTTGAACATTTAATACATTTTTAAACTACAAAATAATTATTCAATTTTAAATTTGATACATTTTGTCAAAATTCGATCTTTAAATGCTTATAAAATAAAATTGTACCTATGTATTTTTAATATTTTTCAACTCCTATTGTAACAATATATCAGGAACCTTGAATTAAATTATCATGCTTTTTTAGTTTTTACCCAACAAATACAATTTTATTGATATTTATAGAAAAAGAAACTAAGAAAATTGAAAACTTACAATGTCCGTAAACAGCTCAAAAAGAGTCGAAATATTTTCAAAATGTTATGGTGTATAGAAAATGCTAATACAAACATTCAGTGAAATTTTCAAGTATCTACAGTTATTCGTTTTTGAATAATTTACGAAATAAAGAAATCGCTACATGAGAAATCGAGTGAATATCCAATGTTGTAAAAATTTGAATTTCAAACGGTCATAAAAATTTAATTTGACTTTCTTATAGACATTTTTTTTTTTTTTGATAAAGGTAGATAATATTATAAGGAATCTTGTATTACATTTTCAAATCTGAGATTTAAAAATTAAATTTTTTTTAAATTTTTAAATCAAATAATTTCGAAATTTTCGTCATTTTTACGAATTTTGTCAATATTAATTGAACTTTAAATGCTCATAAAAAAAATTGTGACTATGGATATTTAATTTTTTTCATGTACCTTTGAAACAATAAACTAGGAACATTCTACTAAATTTTTAAGCTTTTTTAACCAACAAATAACATTTTATCTATATTTATAAAAAAAAAAACTAAATAAAACGGAAACTAAAAATGTTCGTAGAGCTCAAAACAAGTCAAAATACTTGGAAAACGTCATGGTGTACAGAAAATGCTAATATAAACATTCAGACAAAATTTCATTTACCTACTGTAATTTTTTTTAAGAGTTGCATCAAAAACCAAAATCGATTTTTTCGAAAACAGATTTTGGGTGAAAATTCCCGTTTGTCCTTAATTTTTCATTTGTTTTTCCCTGAGCGTTTGAAAACTACTGGAAAAATTTTACCTTTTACCCACCAAAGTACCAAGTAGATTCACTTTCCTATCAGAAAAGATACTGTTGAAGAAAATCCAAGCACTTTTACTGTCCAAAAGGTGATGACAAACACAAAAATAAAAATAATAAAAAAACACACATCATTGTAAAATCAATACATTCATCACGAATCTAAAATATTTTTTTATAGGTACTGAACAATAATAAAAAAATTATCCATGTACACAATTCTGTTCTATACTAAATTACGCTTTTTAGGAGTTTTAATTATAAATGAAAATTCAATAGATAATTTTGTATTTTTGGACTTTTTGTTCAACATTTTTCATAACGTACTTTTTGACCGATTACAGGTAAAACTGTGCAATACACAATATTAGGAAACAATTTAAGATTTTGGATGTAATGTGCTATTCCATATAAGAAAGTCCAACAGATATCAGACAGGTGGAACTAAATAACAACTAAGTATAATAATTATATATAACAGCATTTTTAAAAATCAATAGTAAAATATTTTTTCATCAATTAAGAAGGAAATAAAAGTACATTTTTTATCTTCTAACAATCCATTATACTTTCTATGTATATACTACAAAAGTATTACCTAGGTACTTTCTCAGTTTGAACAATTTTATTTATCTTCTAAAGATTGCAATTAATCCAACAGTCAAAATTCACGCTTTTTAGGACAATTTGTGTACATTTTAGTGATTGTTTTTATTGTCCTTCACAATTTACCATAAATTACAAAAATAACATACCACAAATAGCCACTACAATTCTTGTTTGTTTTTAAAGTTGAGAAATAATATTTTGAAGCAACAGTCTATTATTTATAACTCCACTACAAATTTATTTCATACACATATAAAAAAAACATAATTTTACTTAAAACTATAAATAACAAATAATTACTAATAACTTACTGTACAATCACAACACAATAATTGTTAAATTCATAAAATTGGTTTTCTACCTTTAAGATAAAACACCACATTAAGTCCATAGTTTATTAGTTAAATGTAAGATTTTATTTTCTTAACCTTTTATATAAAATTAATCACAATTTTGCAATAATGTAATTTTTCTATGGTTTCCTACATTGGAAGACTTAATTATTAAAAAATAAAACTAAAACAAAAAAAAAAAATTATATTAATTGTTATTTTATTTAAAAATAAATGTCTTTAGATCAGATCAAACAATTATAATAAACATATAATTTTTACACAATATTATATTTTATAATATTTATTACAAATTACAGTTATTGAACTGATACTAATATTTTTGACACTTTATCGATAAATTACAATCACAATAATTACAACAGAGACTAAAATTATATTTGGAAAAACACTTCTATTAAGTACATAAAGAATTTAGTAAAAAAATATCAAAAATGTAGTTAATTATATCTTAATTTTATTAGAACAGTAAAAAAAAAAATTAAAATACTTTAGGAGCTGATTTGAAATATTTCAACTACCATGTTTTCTATAAACAAAAATTATAATTATAATAAATATTATTTTTTCTATAATTATTATAGATATTACTTAATTTTGTCTTACTACATAAATCAAACATTTTTTGCTAAATTAATTATAACAAATGTAAACTTTTGAAATAACACAGAATTTACTAATAGTGATTAAATTTTTATAAAAATAATAAAAAATAAATATTGACAATAATTGAAAATACATTTTTATTAAATTGGAATGATTTTACAGAATATTGTAACCGAATCAATTATCATGAGAAATAATGCAAATTCGTCTTAACTACAATAATATTACAATAAAAAGAAATTGGTTAGTAATAGTTTACTAATTTTATATTGAGTTGAGCAATCAATTAATATAATTAAATATTCTACTCTACATCATTCCAATAATTAAACAATGCATTTTTTTTTAAAAAAAATAACAAAACACATAAATGTAAAACAATATCAGATCTATTTGATACTATACATTATAAAGAACATGATGTTTAACTTTTTAACGAGTGAAATCAACACTATTGACATAATATAATGATAATTTACAATTATTAAAAAAACTAAAATTACTGAAATAATCTTATAACCTTAATATTCAACTCCTCATTAATTATTTTGATTTTTGTTGGAAACATTTTAGTTTAAAACTTTTGTAAATGTGCTGATAATATAAATAAAGGAATGTCAAAAAAATGGAATTTTATGCACATTTTTAAAATGTCTAGATTAAAAAAAAATGTTCCACCTACTAAAATTAATTAATTAAAAGTATGAATTTTACCTAAGTAAATTAATGTATGTAATACACAATAATAACTAATATAATATAATTTTTATAAAATGTTTACAAATTTAGAGAACATATGGTGCATGATGAATGCTGATCACAAGTTGAATCATGGTGGACAGGTGGCACTGGGTTATTGGATGGATAACGTTGAGGACTGAAAAAATCAGTCGATGTCATCATGGAAGTAAACCAACCATGATTTATAGCTGGTTGTCTGTTAAACATTGTTGAAACAGGTGATGTCTGTGATTGAAAATAGGAGCTGCCGGAGTTTCTATTAATGTCTGCGGATATTGGCGAGCAACGTTGGCGTGCATTGACACCACGTACTTTAGACCTCGCCCCGCCAACAGCAGCTCCCGACTCTACTCACATAACCTGTAACACAAACAAATTATACATTTCAAAATACAATTCAGTATAAGTTTATTTAAATTATTTTATATACCTGTAAAATTATAGTGCCTTCATATGTGTTATTGGGATTCAATGTTATTGGATTGATTACTATGCCAGCTTCAACACATATCATATTTGGGTATTCGTCTTCACCAAAGTCACTCATTGTACTTGATGTTACATCCCACGGATTCCATACAACTAAAAATATCATTACTTAGTTATATTAATAATAGGAATTAAAAATAATTCCATTTACCTGTATCTGGCATATTGTATTTTATCATTTTCATTTTTCTTCCGGATACAACATTTGAAATCACATGTTCCTGTTGAGTATTTTGATAGATTCTATCAGTCCAATGATTAACAGTCACCATTTCTCTCGGTTCTTGGTACACACCATTTTCCTTGGTCTAATTGTTGTCAAAAAATTAATATTTAATAACTTGTTAATAATTAGTAAATATATAATATATCTACATCTTTGAATGCTATTAAATATTAATTAAACCAGTCCATACCTTGTCTACGTACATGCATCCTTGAAGACCAGATATATTACATTTTCGGACATCTGGTACTTTTAGATATGTATGGAAAAGCATGTTAAATTGAAATGGTTCTAGAGATGAGTTGTATAAATTGAAGCTGACTTGTAATTCTTTTTCTCTCAATATTACTCTTAGCACTAATTTGAAACTAAAAACAAGTTTAGCATACAGTTTTAGATTCATCATTAAAATATAAAAAATATTTACCTATAATTCCACATTTGTTTTGTAACGGAATTGTCCACTAATGAAAATAGTGCTTCAATGTCACCATTGTCTAATGGTTCAGGTTGTTTTTCAACATTCCATCTGCACGTCATGGCAAAACCATGAAGAGGTCCATAAGCCCAGGGTCCAAAATGAGCTGTATAAAAAACAAAAACATTTTTTTAATTTAAAATTCATTTAAGCCTATTTATAAGTCTATTGTACAATATATTATTAAAAATTCTGTCGGTCAAATTTAAAAAGTATCAATATTTCTAATAAATACAGAAACAAATAGTGTAACACCTTGGATATTTAAAGAAATAAGTAAATAATAAAAAATCAAAAAATCTATACAAATATTAGTCATAAATCATAATAATGACAATAATGAATTAATTAAAAATTATAACAACGCATATTATATAAAAATAATAATAACTATATAATATAGCAGTTAGTTATGTTTATTGGTTAAAATAAATTATTATTGGGGAACGAGGTGGCCGAACGGTCTAAGGTGTTAATTAGTGGCTATTGTAAATTATAACCAACTGAAATGTTATTGCATCAAGATGATTTTCAATATCCAGTAAACTACATCAACTACAAATCATTCCGCTTAACTATATAGGTACTTGTGCAGATTTAATACTTTATTGACCACTGATAATACTCAGTTATTGCTTTAAGAAGTTATCGATAATTCACGATTATTAAATGAAATAACTGGGTAATAATTAATAAAAAAAATAAAATAACCCAGCCTTCAATTGCCATACAACAAACCAAAATAGCATATTATTATTAATATAACTGTTAACAAAATCAATTTATAATTTTTCCAGTTATAAATATGCTTCCACAGAGTTGTGTTCAATAATTTAGCATTATGAGTAAATTTATTTGGTCTATTAATTTTTATTTATTTAATAACAGTCAGGATTTTTAGAATTTATTTGGGGTGCATATATTAATAATTGTGTTGTTAATAGTAATGTTTTCAATGTCTAGAAAATGAGTAGAAGTTTAATTCATTAAAGCTTTTTTAAATTTATTTGTCATTACGTGACACATGAACATTTGAAGGTACTTACGAAAAACTATTGGAATGCCTCCTCGAATCGATTTCTGACCATCAAAAACAGCCAGTTTACTAAACATAAATACATCAAATAATCAACAATATATCAAATTAATAAATACCAATTAATAACTATTATACAATTATTAAAATTCTATTCACAGAAGAAAATTTAAGTACAATGTATTAAGGTATATTATTGTTGTAATTTTAGATTCTGAGCAGAAATATAAAATTATTGGTATCACAAATCACAATAATATTTTGTTGTTAACTTTTTTTTTGTTTGTTTGTTTGTGCCTGTTTAAGAGTGTAAGACACTAACTATAGTAGAAAAAATGCTTCAATCTTCAACTTTGAGGGTGATTTCTAGTAGAAATTGGATCTAGTTGATACTTGTTGGTGGTTAAAAGTAAAACCAGCACTTTTCAAAATAATTGGGGCATAATAAAATAAAACACACTTAGATTAAAATAATTTTGTTATGCTGGAGTATTTTTAAATTTTAAACAAATTAGTGATTTCTGAATAGTTTTGTTTAAAATAATATGTTCAATGTTCATGAATCATAAATTATGAAACTAAACAATGAGTTAATGCTTTTAAAAGTTTACAGTAAAATATATAGTATAATTCTCAATTATTAAGTACCTAGTTTAAAAGTGTATTACTTATGAAAAATTTGAATTTTACTCTCTTAAAAATTGATATTGAATTCTACCTCTGTGCATACAACTCATTTTGAAGTACTTTCAAAGTTGTAATAGTTTAAATGTTGAAGTTAATACAATTATATCTTGGTACTTGTATATTTTTAATAAATACAACAAAAGTAATAGTTTTATATACCTAATAATAATTTACATTCTTTTGAATCTCATATTTTAAACCATATGTCCTTGCTTATGTTTATTACATACTCAGATGAATTTTGTTTGGTTTTATTACACTTATGTAATTAAACATATCCTATTATTTATTGTTGATATTATCAGAAAATTTAAGCCGACCATGACACTTTACCAACCTTTATATTATATTTAAAATAAATACTAAAAAAAATAAAAAAATTTTTTTTTTTAAAACACTTTCTAAAAAAACAAAAAAATAATGAAAAATTTAAAAGTGTGTGGTGCATCATACAAAACATTTAAAGCCGAGCTAAGTCTCACGACTCACATACACTTCTTTGTTCAATCCTGTTTATAAGATAGTGACTGGGAGTATAATATGTCAAGTGTAAGAGCGCCACACACTTTTAAATTTTTCATTATTTTTTTGTTTTTTTAGAAAAAGTGTGTTTTTAAAAAAAAAAAATGTTTTATTTTTTATTTTTTACTTTTTAGTTAAAAGTAAATTTTTTTTATTTTAACAACATTATTCTGTTATATATTGTACGTCTAATTTACTGAAGTACGGCGAGTAATGGTTAGGTTAACCTGCCTTGACCCAGAGAAACCCTTCGTACCTGTACTTCCTCGGAGATGACTTTGCACACCCGTCATCGCCGACCTGGAGGTCCAGGTCCCAAAATGACAACGGATTATTGTATTGTCATCCAAGACCAAGGTCTATACCAATTTTCAGAATTTTTCATCTTCAAAAAGTGCCTCAAATCGAGCGCGCAAGATTTGATTACAGACGGACGTGAAAGCGAACTTAAGAAAAGTGTTAAAAATATAAGGAAAGTCACTCTGCTATATAATAGGTGTCAAACTTTTGAATAGGTCACTCTAATGAGCAGCGCTGTTTGCCAGACTAAATTTATATTTTATTATATATTTAATATTTGTATAACTAGTAGTAATTTATTTTTCTATTAGTAATATGGTAAGTCGCCATTGACTTAAAAATCAAGTTTATTGTTAATAATATAAGAAATAAATAGGTATAAACTGTTATAATAAATGCGATGTTTTTAGCAAATATCAATTAACCTACCATCATATTAGTGAATTAATAATACTAAAATAAATGTAAAATAAAATATACCTATTAATCGCCTATTACCTAGTCATTTAGGAGGACATCCCATCTCCACCTAAATCGTATTTTGTTGCAATGATTTATCATTGAATTCAAATTCAACACATCCATTACACTGACCTACTGAATGACGATGTACAAAGTACACTAAATGTCTAAATAGTAGACACCAATTATTATACAACTGAGCGAGTGCCGAGTTCCCCGATTTTTTTAATTAGAAAAGGGAAAAAAATATTAGATTATCACTCGTTTTTAGCATCACTAAGTTTACATAATTATAATTTATAGAATTACAAATAAATTCTCTTCAAATCGTTTTTGATACAATAATTTATTTAGTTCTATAATTTTTACCTGTAAGTAATTCTGGTAAAATAATATTAATTTACGTCAATAAAGTACAAAATGATTCATTAATTATACCATTTTTTATATCTAATTCTTTATACCTAATAAGTAATATCTTTACAACATTGAAAAGAGAAAATAATATTCACTTTATAATATATCATTTCGTTTTTTGATTTTAAAATGTAATAATGAATATTATTTTAAAGTTTTTAATTAAATGTCAAGTTATAACACAAGTCAAAATATTTTGGATTATAAATAAATGTTACATTTGAGAACAGATAGAGGTATGATGAATAATATTTCTATAAGAATACATTTTGAGATTCTGAGCAGAACGATGTATTAATTGTGTGTGACTGTGTACACGAACAATTAAAAAAAATCGAAAAAATGATTCGATTTTCAACTTTAAGGGTGGTTCCTGGTAGAAAATTGGATAGTTGGTACTTTGGAGAGATCAAAATTAAAGAAAGGTGCACTGCTGTACAGTAGGTAACAAGTGGGTCACTGTTTAATGGATGGGACCATTCATGTTAGAATAGACTATTCTATTCTATAATCAATGATGGTACTAAATTTGAATTCAATGATATAATATCATTGTGTAAGAAAAACGATTCTGAGCGGAAACGATATGTCAGTCTAAGTATAAGACATATTTTATCTATGGCATTAAAAAAAGAATTGACCTTTAATAGGTACCTATAATAAATTACAAATTAATCATATCATAATATCCATTAGGTACTTATAACGCCTTATACATCAACAACAAACCGTGATACTATCATAGATATATAATAGTGTATTTTAGAAGTATCAAGTAACTATGAATTGTATTATAAAATCACAACAAAATAACTAAAATAGTTATTCTAGGTTTTTTAATATGTAATTACGTCCAAATTTGAACTTAAAATGACTACAAAAATAAACTGTGCTTATGTATTTTTTAGATTTTTTGGTAACAGAATTAACTACTTACGTGGAATTTTGTTTTAAATTTCCAATTCTTAGATATAAATGTTGAACATTTTATACATTTTTAACCACAAAATAATTATTCAATTTTAAGTTTGATACATTTTGTCAAAATTCGATCTTTAAATGCTCATAAAAAAAAATTGTACCTATCGATTTTTAATATTTTTCAACTCCTATTGTAACAATATATCAGAAGCCTTGCATTAAATTCATGCTTTTTTACCCAACAAATAAAATTTTATTGATATTTATAGAAAAGAAACTATAGTTTCTTATAAGAAAATTTAAAACTTACCATGTCCGTAAACAGCTCAAAAAGAGTCAAAATATTTTCAAAATGTTATGGTGTATAGAAAATGCTAATATAAACATTCAGTGAAATTTTCAAGTATAGTAGGAGCATTGTATTCAATTTTCAAGCTTTTTTAACCAACTAATAAAATTGTATTGATATTTTTAGAAAAAAAAAATGGAAAATGAAAATTTATTCCTAAAAAGTAAAAAGTTCAAAACAATTCAGAATATTTTGAAAATTTTATCGTGTATAGAAAATGCAAATATAAACAACCAGTGAAAATTAATTTTATGTGTATACATTCATTCGTTTTAGAGTTACACAAAAAACCAAAATTGATTTTGTGGAAAACCGATTTTGAGTAAAAATTACAGTTTTTCCTTAATTTTTATGTTTTTTTCCCGGCGTTTGTGAAAACTATTTGGAATTTTAAAATTTGACCTCCCGAATGCAACAACTAGATTCACTTTCCCATCGAACAATATACTGTTGAAGAAAATCAAAGCAGTTTTACTGCCCCAAACCGTGATGACACAAAAATAAAAAAATAAAAAATTGAAAAAAAAAACACACAACATTGTAAAATCAATACAGTCATCGTTCTAGTCAGAATCTAAAACATACAAGTAATTTTCAAAAGCGTCGGGAAAAACAAATGAAAAAACAGAAGCTTAACGCAAAATCAGTTTTGACCAAATCAATTTTGTCTTTTAATGTAACTCAAAAACAAACAACCGTATAGGTAATTTTTTATACATAAATTTAATACATAGATACATTGTTCCTTATAACCTGATCATATAAAAATGCATAAATATTGAATAAACATGAGTAGTCTAAATATTTGTTAATAAGCTCAGTTTAAAATTAAAATTTTGACTAAATTCATCCAGATCACGAACATTTTCAAACTATTTTGAGTTAAAAATTCATATTTTAAAATGTTATACAATATTGCTAATAAGTTTTGCTAACTTTGAAAATAAAAAAGTTTACCAGAATATCACATTATTCTTTTTTATGAGCGTTTAAAGTTAAATTTTTACAGCACTGGATATTTTCCATAAATTAACAATTTTTAATTTTTTTGTTTTAATTCAAAAAGATTAACCGTAGATACTTATCATTTTCACCAAATGTTTATATTAACATTTTATATGCACGGTATAATTTACAAAATATGATGCCTGTTTTAAGCCATTTATAGACATTTTCAAATTCTTGTTAGTGTTTTTTCTATAAATATCAACGAAAAAAATTGTCCAGGTCAAAAGCTTGAGATTTAATATAGGTAATAGTTTCCTCATAAGTTGTTGTAAAAGTAGTTTAAAAATATTAATGATCATATATAAGGCACGATTTTTTTTTTAAGCATTTAAAATTCAAATTTGGACAAAATTCATTAAAATCACGAAAATTTGCAAATTATTTTCTAGTTAAAAAATTATAA